AGGAAATACCGGTGACTTTTTGAAAGTCGCCGTAAATAAATATTGTTACGGTTGGTGATACCAATGTGGTTGTGTTGTGATTCTGTTTAATGAAAGAAGGAATCGGCTGTTGCGAGTTGAATGAGTCTCGCCAGTAATAAAAACTTGTAGCATACTTAGCGGAGACTAGTTGTTTCCTGTTTGTACAGATGTTTTTGTTTCTTTTAACGAACTAATGTTTAAAACAATTGATTATGCAATGCACTAAACAAGCGCAATAGTATGTTTTAAAAACGCTAATTGTTAGGATAAAAAAAGTAAACAGAAGTACGCGCAAAATTGAAATTATGAATGACTGCATATCGAACAAAAAAAAATGAAACGAGTAGATTATCACAGTGGAGCATAATGGAACGAATTAAATTTCCCGACAGACTTCATATTCACGTACATATTGAGTAATACCAACGATTATCGGCAACTAATATAGCAAATATCACGCTATTTTTATACTAGGGAAAAGTCTGTTTCTGTGTTTTTGTGCGAAAAAAACATTTAGAATAATTTTCCTGTACTTAAAATGTTCTATAATCTTATAATCTTATAACTTATGCATACTAAACCATATATTTTATCATAACACATTATAAGTACTAGGCAAAAGGGCAAAGGTAACAAATGACACTGAGCGAAGATGTAGGTGTTTGTCCTTACACCTTTGTCCTGATGGTTTTGTTTCACGCACCAGTAATAGGTCGCTGGTTTTTTCCCTTGGGGAACAAGGTTTTTCCTTAGGGAAATGGGTTCACTTTATATATATATATATATATATATATATATATATATATATATATATATATATATTTCTTTGAAGGACCACCCAGAAAACTGGGAAAAATGAAGATTCGAAAAGAACATTTGAACAAATATATTTAAAACAAATACAATGTATTTTAAACGCCGATAACTTGCATATGATACACACTTGTCGGTGATACAATATTGACACGAACTTATTAATATACCGACTGGTTTAAAACACTAATATGCCGCTGGGGCGAGTAGAGCCTGACGCTCCTTCAGTGCTGGAATTTGAACTGATACTGATTTGATGGATTAAAACTGCGAACTGATGTCCACTCTCTCCCCTCAATCACAAACATTCCGAAATCTCCCCCCTGACCCCTGGACGTATTAAAAGATATGTTTATTTTTCAAATACCTTTAACTTTCAAATCATTGATAAAAACTACCTGATAAGGGTATTTGTCTCAACTTGCGGAATTTTGGAATGCGTCAGAGGGTAATTTGGAAAATACTAATCCTTTAATTGTTACGATTCTATAAAGGTTTTAGAAACTTGCGTAGAAAGTTATTTAAATGCAAGATAACGGCGCTTTACAGATTATTAGTTAGTACAAAGAAATTTTATATATCTAAACTAATATACAGTATGATACAAAAATAAACTAAATAATATGATACAAAATAGACTAAAAATATTAAGTATCTATTGTTGTTACGCAACAGACACTTTTTCACATAAAAAAAGCTTCCTAAAATTGGATACCCTATCCAAAATAACTGTATCCAATATCCTGAAGCAACTTGAATACTGTATCTACTTTTACCAAACCAAGGTAAACAAACCATACTGGGGGGATAACGAAATGGAGGAAGAAATAAAATGTAAAAGAAAACTATACCAACAATATTTAAGCTCCAAATCATTACAAGACGAAATAAAATATAAAGAAAAACAAGCAGAAGAAGCAGAAGTACGAAGTAAAATTTTTAAAAAGAAGAACGAGTCTTGGGAAAGAAACTGCCAACGAATAAATACTTAACTAGGAGGAACCAGAAGCACAGAAAGCTGGAAACTGATAAAAAATTGAGAAAAGAAAAGAATAAAGAAGTAATACAGAGCATAAAACCTGAAGACTGGGAAGAGTATTTCAAAGAACTTTTGGTAAAGAATAGAGTAGAATTTCAAGAACATAGAAATCAAAACCAAGATAGAATTTCAATAGACGGCTCGGCAATAAGATTAACAACAGACGAAATTAAAAATGTATGTAAACAGCTGAAGAGAAACAAGGCACACAGACCAGGGGATATACCTAGAGAATTGTTGAAGTACGGAATGAACAAATTGTACGAATGTCTTCGACAACTATTTCATGAATGCATAAACACAAACGAAATCCCTACAAAATGGAAGATATCATACCTCAGTACTATACATAAAAAGGGTGATAACGGATCCATGAGTCAAATATATGGAAAGGTTTTAAAGAACCGAATCGAGAAACAATACTTAGATTATGAAGGCAGGATTTCGTACGGGTTGATCCACTATTGACCACATCTCCTTAACCCAGGTAATAGAAAAAAGGCACGTAATCAAGAGATTCATATGTTGTTCGTCGACCTACGGAAAGCCTACCACAGCGTTCCACTGAAGAATCTGTGGCAATCAATGGAAAGCACGAATATTAATATAGAATTATTAAAAGCCGTCAAAGTGCTATACAACCAACCAATAACGAAAATAAAAGTAGGGGCACAAATAACAACAGGATTTATAATATCAAAAGGATTAAAGCAGGGATGTTGTTTGTCCCCTTTTTATTTAAAATATACCTTGAAAGTGCTTTAAAAAGATGGAAACAAAAATGCAGGACAATGGGGATACCGCTCACCAACACTATGGTATATACGCTCAACTTTGCAGACGATTAAGTAATAATGGCGTAAGATTATGACAATTTAAACTATATGGCACGAAAATTAATTGAAGAGTATGATATATGGGATCTAGAAGTAAATAAAAAGAAAACTGAATACTACCTGTGCATTGGAGTAGAACAAAAAGATCTCGTATTAGACGATAACACCACGATAAGTACTGCTCTGACTACAAATATCTAGGTATCGCAATTTCATAAGATAAAACATTAGACAAAGTCATAAGAGAGAGAAATACGTCAGGAAGAAAAGTCATCACAATGTTAAACAGCATTTTATGGGACCAATCCATCAGAAAATAAAATAAAAAGAGGATATATGAGACTATAGTAAAAAGTATCACTTTATTTATTTGTGAGATATGGCCACTGAAAGAAAGAACACTGGCAACGCTGAAAGCGACAGAAATGGATTTTTGGAGAAGAGCCGCAGGAAGATCTAGAAGAGAAAGGATTACCAACGAACGCGTTAGTGAAATAATGGGAATCAAACGAACAATCACAGATGACCTAACAACAAAACAACTTATCTTGTTGGGACACATACAAAGAATGGATGAACAACGAATATTAAAAGAAATATTAAGAGGCAACAAGAATGAAGAGGAAACGAGTAGACGACAAAAATTTGGAGCGAAAGAATAAATAAAGAACTGACAGAGAGGGCCATAGAAGAAGACCTATGGAACAACCGGACTAAGTGGCGATTGGAAGTCGAAAAAAACGGTGGAGAACGTTATAAACCGACAAGTAGTAGTACTAGTATCTACTTTTCTCCATGTTGGTCCTTTGAATAATTGTCAGTGCAGAAAATACACTCTGAATCATAAGGAACATTTGAGGAATCTGAGGATTCACTTTCTTGTTTTACTTTCTATATCTTTTGTTTTTTGACCATCGCCTTCTTTTTACTCTTCTTTAAAACTTTAATTTTGGCAACTTTTTTTTTGGGGTGAGAATCTTTAAAAGATTCTGGGAAGGACTTCCAGGTGTGTTGGATTCGAACTACTACGCCTCAAAGTAGTTGAACCCTATGAACTAAACTCACCCCCTCTTTCTACAACCGACGTTACTGGGACCGCTCTTAGCGAGCATTACCATCTGCTCGTCAGCTTTATTCATAACTCCCTGCTGGTTTGTAATGTAACTATCTTTGTGCAGAGTCATAGGCAGGATGGAGAGACCACTCCAACCATCTTGAAATTAAAGAGAGAGATCAGACAACAGGTACAAGCAACTCCAAACATTCATATTGCATCCCCGGAGGATGGTCCATTCAATCCTCCATCTACACCAGCCTATTACTTAGTAAAAAGCTGCTTCAAAAGGAGACACACACCGTACACTAGATACAAGTAGAAACAAAACAACAAGTATGCAAATAGATTTCTGTAATGTAGTCAAGTTCTTTGAGAATTCATTTAAGATTTCGGCGTCAGTAGTGAAAGCTGCCTAGTGACTCACCCCACTGACGCCGACAGATAAGACACAATAAAATAAACAGTTCACCTTCGTTGCAGTCTCCTCTCTTTCTCTTCCTTGTGTTTTATGGTTTCTGTCACAAAACCAATGATCAAGTCAAAAATTCTTTTGTTTTCAATTGCTTTATTCATTAATTCATGTAGCTCGCCTAGAAGTGACCCTAGGCCCAGCTGCAGCAAGAGTTCGCCCCGCATTGTATGCAAGGCATACGAATACCATTTGATGCGCGTCATTCACCAGTCCACACTCGAGACACACATCGTCTTTGGTCTTCTTTATTCTATATGTATAAGACCGAAAAGGTCCATGCCCATCATAAATTGGGTGAAATAGTAGTTCACACGTCTGTGTTTACACTCATACCACCTTACAACATCTGGGATAAGGGCCCTCGTCCAGACAGCCTTGTCTGTTTCTCTTCACCATTGGTGCTGCCAGAATCCATTGGTCCTGCCAGATTCGAACCCTTTCATTAGCCAGGATATGCACAGGCACAGCACCGGCCACAATTTGGCCTTTTCACATTTTTCTTTGTATAATTAAACACTAAAGATGACCTTACTAATAAAAACATTAGAAGAAAAACTTTAGAACTAGGAAGACAAGATATAAAGGGCCGATACAGAAAATGCGGCATTGAACGACAGAAATGTCCGTTTTTTTATTCAATTCCGTAAATGTAAAATTTAAATTAAAATGTAATACAAATAATTTGAATAATGTGCATTAAATAACGTCGAAAACTAATTAGCGTAGAAAGATTACAAAAATTTTATACAAAAAAACGCTTACCTTGAGCTTCAATCTTTGGTAGATAAAGTAATAAACAAATCGAATATGCTATCCTTAGAACGGACGCCATTCGAAGGATCTGCAATAAAAAAAAACTTGATTAGCATCAACAGTTAAATTTTAAATATAGTAATATTTTATTAATTATAAAAATAATATACTGCTTAACCACTAGACTACTTAGTATAATAGTGGATACATAATAATATATTTTTATACTCTCATACTTTAATATGGCAATTAAAATTTAATGTATAATAATGGGTTTACAAATTTTTAACCAATAGCATCGCAAGAATCCACCCAAATACAGTATTGATACACTGCAAAACGACTCAACATCATTTTTATACAAGTAAGGCTTAGCCAAAAATTAATAAATCTGATATACTCGTCAGCGCAGAATACCTACCAAGAGATAATAAATAAAGTTAATGCAGCAGTATGAAGCAGTGAAAAAGTTCCTGTAAACAAAAGATCCAGATGATAGACGAACATACGCAAGATTAAACAGAGAAGTAAAAAATCTAGTAACTAAAGAAACAAATTTTTCCTGGGAAAGTAAATGCGTTGGGGTCAACAAATATACATGGTCAACAAGATCAATAGAAGCATGGAAAACGGTAAAAAAATCCTGAGAACAAACAGAAAAGAAGTGACTAGAATGGATTTAATAAAAGAAAGTTCTTGGATCAAACATTACTCACAATTTCCGATTGAAAAAAGACCGCAATTCACGAACACCATTACAGCAACATATGAAGTGAAATAGTAAACTATACAGCCAACAAAAAAGCGTGGATAACTTCTGCTATTTTTGAAGAAGAATCGAGAAAGTAGGACAAGGAACCCTCTTCAAAAAAAATCTTCTTTTAGTTGACAATTGTGCAGCTCATCCCAAGCTTAATTTGACCAACATCGACCTAGTTTTCTAACCAGCCAACTACAAGAGTATCTTGCAGCCTATAGACCAAGAAGTCATAAGAAGTTTAAAGTGCGATTATCGGAAAAGAGCTTTTGAAAAGGATGATTTTTTTTGTATGACTGTAGTTGCTCCCAATGTTCAGGATGTTAACGAATCTCACGCAATGCCTTTGTCAGAGTGGATACAAAAATTTAGTGTAAACCAGAGAGAATTTGGAACTGACTCCTACATTACAGTAGACGATCAGATAGAAACATTTCAATTTTTGAGTGAAAAATAATAGTGGACAAGTGCAAAATGTGGAAATGGATGTTGATGAAGATAACGAAGAAGAAAAAAAAAAGACAGCTTTGATTGTGCCACAATCCAAGAAGCTATAAGAGCTGCTGAGATCATATCCAGGTTTTACCAGTTCTGAGAGACATCCAAAGCTACTACCAAAGAAGCAGCTCAGATTATTAACCCTAGAGTACTAATGTACGTAAATTTTACATACCAATTTTATTCTTACAGCTACTGAAAGAAAATTAAATGTGGCAATGCTTAGCCGCGTGGGCTATGGTATCCTCATTTCATAGTTAATAAAACAAATGAATACTCGCTTTGATTTTAGTTTGGGTTAGGCTTTGACCGAGTAGTTATATCACTCTGTACGTAAAAGATACGTGTGGTTAGTATCCGCGTAAAAAGTTTTGTACGTAATTGTGACATGTTGTAATTATTAACGTATAAATAAGATGTTTGCAAAACCAAATGTTAATCTAAAGCGTCCTCTTACTGAGAAATAATTGAAGAAGATTATAAATAAAAGTGACTTCAGTGATTTAAGTGATACAGAAGATGATCTATAGGAGTAGAAAATCCATTGACAGCGACTATGATGCTATAAAGGACAAAGAAAATGTCTTTACAAAACTAGCTAACACCTGGGCAGATACAACGATGAGTAAAGAAAGGTTTAACTTTATGATCAATTCTTTACGATTTAATAACTTCTTGACAAGAGAAGAAACGTAAAAAGAAAGTAGTTTTGCTCCAATATCTAAAATTTGGAACTTGTTTATTGAAAACTATGTCAAAAATTATAAAGCTAGTTCATATGTGACAATCGACGAACAACTCCTAGGATTTCGTGACAGGTGTCCATTTTGCATATATATGCCAAACAAACCTAGTAAATACGGCATAAAAATACTTATGGTTTGCGATGTGGCTACGAAATATGTAATAAATGCAACATCGTATCTGGGTAAATCTACTGTAACCAACGGCATTCCTTTAGCAGTAACATTTCGTCACAAACCTGATGAAATCTTTACATGGAAGTAGACGTAATGTGGACAATGGACAACGGGTTTTTCAGCAACCCTCTTGCGAATAAATTATTCTCGTCCTCTTACAATTTGACAATGGTCGGAACACTCCGAAAAAATACCGAAACACCTACTGAATTGCTCCTGTATGTGTACGATGAAAAATGTGACTTTATTATCTAAGCAAAATAAAACAGTTTTTCTACTCTCAAGTCTTCTACCCAGTTCTTCTGTTTCTCTACTTTCAACTATCCATTTTTCTGGCAACATTATTCATGAAACAACAAAACCCGAAATGATCAATACATATAATTCAACCGAAGGGGCTGTAGATACGTTGGATCAAGTCTTAGAACATTTGCTGTAGTAGGAAGACTAGAAGGTGACTGATATGCAGATTTTACATTATAATGGATATTGCAGAGAGTAAACGCTTTTGTAATCTACCATCACAATGCAACTAAAAATAAACAGGAGCCATTATCAAGATTAAATTTTATACTGAAACTTCATGAACAATTGACGAAGCCGTGGCAACAAATATGACTCCAAACAGTACCAACTTTATCAAGAAGTCTTTCTGTGTTTTTGAATGTAACGCATGTTGCCAAGACCGCCGAGGTCTCCAAGGGAAAGGAAAGGATTAGTGTAGTTTATGCTCTACGTCTACAGCAAAGAAACGAATGACAACTACCAAATGTTACAAGTGTGGGAGTGCCTTGTGTGGAGAGCATCAAATAAAAATGTGTATGGAATGTATGCGTATGTATGTGTATGAATGTATGGAATATGCATCAATAGAATATCTTTTCTATATTTGTAATGTTTATTATATGCACAGGTTTATCGTGTACATATTATTACAAGATTACTGTTCTATGGCAAAAGTATCTATTTTATGTTGTTTATGTTTGGATTATTAATATTTCAATGTTTTTTATTTGTATCGTTCCTAAATAAACTTCTCTGGAAATTGAACCATTTTATTAGTTTGAGTACGTCAAATTTACGTATAGTTAGCATTTTCGTATGTTAATGGAAACGTTAGTTTTCTAGGGTTAAGGACACTACAGAAAAACTTTATTTTTCGAAAAGGGTTGTTGTGCAAATCAAAATAACTGACTTTTTCAGCATTAGAGAACTTTTTCATAAAAAATGTAAGTTCCATATACATGATATGTTTTATTTCCTAATTTTTTTATCCTAAATGCAGTTGTAACAGAAAATAATGCTGTAATAAAATTTCATTCTTTTTTCTACCCATTTTGTAATGTCACTCTGATATAGCGTAATTTTTTTACTGGACACTTCAATGACGCTATAATTACGGTCAACTGTACTTTGATGATATCTTTTTGAAAGCCATTGTATATCTATATAAATGAATGTTTTATCTTATATACAAAAAAACTTCTTATATAAAGGGTATGTATTCGCTCATGCACATTTCAACCAACACCCAAGGCAGGTGCACACGTGAACTGAATGTTATAAAAAGTAGAATTTATTTCATTCTTGCATCATATAATTTTTAATCACTCGATATCTTAATAAATATTTCCTACGTAACGGCTCATTGAACACTCCTTATGTTAATCGGATCGAGACAGTTTATGTAATATAAAAATATTGCATTCGATATAAAGATGAGTTCAGTTCGTCTCCGAGCAGTAGAAGAAAACTGATCTGATTAAAATGTAAAAAAATCGGAATAGATGAGCTGTTGAGCCCTTAAGCTGTTTTAATTATTATATATCAATTTTAAAAGGTAGTATATTACAAGATATCCACAAATTCTTCTTCACCAAACAGTACCAGTAGTCGTTTTATAGTTTTTATTCTCATAGGACTTACATATTCTCAAGAAGCACTTTGGTCGGGTAAACTCTCTAAATAACATAATCAATCCCTGTATTTATTTCTATATCTTCAGATGACTTTTCTTCTATATCTTGTATTGCTATTAAATATATTTCTTCTTCTTCTTCCTTCTTGTATGTAGGTTTTAAAACCTGTTTCTTCTTCAATATTAGCCTCCTAAATTGTTTAAATTGTGTCACCATCTTTTTCTTAGTCTGCCAATACTTCTTCGTCCATTTGGTGACTAATCTCATGCTATTCGTACTATCCTTATCCTCTGCTATTTTACTCTCCCTATCCGACAGACTTTTTCCTGATATTCGCTGGAGTATTTTCATCTTTGTTGTTTCTAGTAGTCGTCTCGTTTTAGATGTGTCAGGTTTTGTCTCACTCGTGTATGTTAATATAGGTCTAATTGTTGCTTTATAGGTTTTTGTTTTTGTTTCTTGTCGTAGGTGTTTATTCTTCCAGATTGGGTAATTAAGAGATCTCACCGCTTTACTTGCTTTTAAGCTTTGTTGTCGTAATGATATCTAAACTTTGCTTCCTGTTTTATTATTTTCCCATCAATTTCTATTTTACATCGTAGTGAGTATTTAGGTGTTGCCATACTGTTTCTCCATGCGTCTGGTATCTTGCAGTGCACTATAATTTTTTTCATCTCCAGGTTAAAAATTTTAGCTGCGTGTTTTAGAAGCTCGTTGGTTATTCCATCTGGTCCTGGTGACTTGCTATTTTTGAGTAAATTTATAGCTATCTCTACTTCCTGAAAACTGATTTCTATTTCGTATCTAATTCAGGTACGTTATTGTCTTAATAGTCTTATTAATCTATAGTCTTAATAATCAAATATGGCATTCCAAACAATGGCCTGAAGACTGGACAAAATCTACAATAACGACCATACATAAAAAAGGCAGCTTCCATAAATGCAACAATTATAGAACTATCTCTCTTATATCACATGCCAGC